ATATGTACACATGTTTATTTACTATGTATATAAGTCGACAATAAGTATAATAATAATAATAATAATAATAATAATAATAATAATAATACGATACTGGTGTTTTCTAAGTATATAGACTTAAATTAACTTTCTCTCTCTCTCGCTTCTCTCGTGTACGTGACTTCAAATCTTTTACTAAATTTGTTGTTTGAGATAGAAAATATAAGGTATATGAATGTGCATATATGTTTGATGTTTGAACATTTTCTTTCTTCTCTGTGTACATTGAGCACAAAAAATAAATTTTTTTTTTTGAAAATATAAAATCAGTATACGCATTTCGTTTTAAATTTTCTTCAACATAAGACGCTCATACAGCATCATTCATCGTGAAAATGAAAAATATCATGATTTTTTCAAAATTGTTCAATGTTAAATTAATGGCTGTTGTGTTCGTTTTCGATATTCGATGAAAAGAAAGTAAGAAAGACATTTTTGTAGAGCATGTATCCTAAACGATGTGCGAGTTTTCTCACATTTAACACAAAAGGCAAAAGCTGTTTATGAGTTATTTTTTGCACACAATCTATTTTTGTTCATTCTAAATGAGCTTTACACCACTGAACTATTAGCAAAACCAGAGAGAAAGTGTTAAAGGGAGGATTGTATACTATAGATCTTATGTCAGTGTGTTTATTCCAGTTAGAAAATTATCTTTTCGTGTTCGTATTATGTACACAATTATTTTTTATTTCTGTCTTTTCAATTTATAAATCATACACGTAGAGGAAAACGTGGAAATAGGTAGGTAGATACATAAAGAAAAGATCAGGAAATTTTTATTTGCTTTTCATTTGTTGTTAACCAATCGCTATAGAGAGATTATTAATCATTCTACGTATGTACGAATAAAGAAATGATTCGGTCGTCTCTGTTCTTTTTTAAAGAAAACGACACGTCTTTAGGAGATTGTTAAAGTTCTCGCAGTTGCTTCCCATCGTCAAACGTCAAAAGTTTGAAAATAGTAGAAGAAATAAATCTTGACATAGAAATGAATGGAGTCATCTCCCTTGTGCTCTCGCTCATTCCCCTCAACAAAGACTGACGGAATATGATGGCAATCATTTTGAACTATCAGTTAGTTAATAGTCCATGCCTCATAGTGTATACTTCTCCACTGTATGTGGAGAAAATACAAGTTATAGAAGTTTTTCAAATCAGAACATGTAATATGATCCTTTTCAAAGAAAAAATTTCTGGTTTGAATGAAACTAGACGTTAATACCAATTTCACACTCTTTGATGAACAAGTCGTTTTCAGCTAATAAGATAGTACCTACTGTATCAGAGATAGTCTATTATTCAAGTAGAGATCCTATTCTGATGGTTATATGTAGTTCGATTAATTCGTTCATCTGCGCCTGAATGTTGTAATACGAATTCAGATTAGAAAGAGCAATATGTATTTATTTATAATAAATATACTTATTAATTTGAATATACCTCTTGAGAGGTTTATTCTTATTTTCATATGAACACATCATGATCCAACGATTAGCAGCACAGATACCTGAATGCATTTCGAAACATGGGATTTAATCAATAATAGAAAGATTATAATTGTTCGTCCTATTGTTTACTCAATTAGATATAAAGTGCCCGCCGTCGATATGTTTGCATGTAACATTCCGTTCATATATGAAAAAACAGATACGGGAAATGAGTAATGAATCACGTATGTAGAAAGAAGAAGGATAAATGTGCTAAGTCAAAAGGTGGGAGATTTTTTGTTGTTATATGTAACCAACTATTCAGTCAAGGATACACGCACTTGGTACCTTGCATAATGGGTAGGATCAACGTGTTTGAATGTGAAATGAAGATTTTTTTTTTTGTCTTGTTGACTGATATATCAGATTACACCGTCAAGGTTACATGTATGTCTAGTAAGGAAAGACGACGCTATCCAATGATGAGAACAGTCGCTATGTATTTAGAGATTAGAGATTTACTCTCGTATGGGAGGTACCCTGAGTATATATAGAGATTCATCTTCAATTCTCACAATACTATATTATATCGAAGGCAGATAAATTAAGTTTTTGACAGTTACTCAATAAAATAAATATGAAAATATTTTATTGCTCATTATATAGAGATCTCATCTTTACTGTGAAACTTACACATTTACACACTTTTGTTTCAAGGATCAATAAATTAAATTCTAACTCACATACGTAAATAATAATCATTATTACTATTAGAAAAAGCAAACAGCATGAGGCTTGAGTCAAGTATTGAACTTGTTCAAAATAACGATAGAGTATACGTAGCAAAAAGGGAGGAGAAATAATCAAGATTAATTTTTTTTTTTTTGGTTATACATGTATTAGAAATATGTTCACGTCATAGATACGAGATACAGATATATTCTCAAAAGAATCATCGTATTGAATTATTATTCGTTGAACTCTTAGTCCTGATCCTAATTGAAAATCGTTTACTGAAGTTAAAGTTTACAGTGAAGAGGAATAAAATTTGATTTAGTTTAATTGAGTGTAATATTTGCTGTATCATCAAAATATTACTGCAGACGAGAGAGAAGGTCCAGATGCTTGATCTCTCAACAAAAAAGTTTTTTTTACTGTTAAAAATCTATGGACATTTTCCTTTTCTTTGTACTATTGGAAAAAAGTCTGAAGAAAATTGAATTCCACACCTCTTCTATAAGAAAAGTTTTGACTAATCCATCCAATCATTCCATAAAATTAGATCGCGATGCTCGTGATACCCAACGATGGTTTTTGTATAGTTGCTCAAATATTCTGATATATGACATAAGAAAAATCTCATTTAGTGCGAAATGGGGATCTTAATATCTTTGATAAAATGATGATAAGGATGATAAAGATCGATTAAAATTTGTAACATCTTGTTTTTTATGTTTCTAATAACAACAAACAATTGTAGATAACAAATTTATTATGTACAGATAGTTTTTTCAATTGATAACTATAGCTAATTAGAGAATATTGGCAATTCTGTTACTTATTTTAAATAAATTTAGATATGTTTATTAAATAATAATCAAAATATGTGATAAACAAATCAATATTTCTATTTAAAATCATTTTTATCTTTAATTAACAACAGTTTGAATTTGAAAAAATGCATTTTAAACAACATACGTACATCAGATAATAATAAAGCATATCTATACGAGAAAGAAAATGACCAAAGTATTCTTTAACACCATAGGATAGAGTATTCAAGTGTGTGTTTCATAATCAATAATATTTGAAAAGAACTATAAGTGATTTAGTTGTATTTATTTTGTATTTTTGATGCGAGACTAAATCGGATTATCAGAGATGAAAATACACCTTGAATATTTTATGTTTTTAGGACTATCTGAAAGATTGATTTAGATGATTTTTCTCTAAAAGTTTCATGAGATTCGAATTTTTCGATAGAATTTCTTCTACAGGAAAGGAACTAGAAAAGGACATACAGTCGATCTTCAAGATTAAAATACTCTTTTAGTCATTTTATTATTCTCTTAAGCTGCTTTGAGTGCGAAGTAAATACTTGAGATTGAAATAAAAAAAATGTCAGCAATTCATTTTCTACTTAATATTCATGCTAATATGTCGAACATGTCTTACACACGCAACGAGAAAAAGAGGAAATAAAAAACATTTTTATTCTATTCGTTCTTTATTTAGAAGTATGAATACAATTGTCCAATCACTAAATATATGCTTTATGCTTCTTGATGATTGGATAAATGAAACGACAGTCATAAAAAGAAAAGGAAAAGCTATTTCGCCGGAACTGATCATCAGCAAAAAAAGAAAAAAGAAGATTTTTCTTCATTTTTTTTTCTTCTTTTTGCTCTCCTAAATTAATAATTATACAATTTATTCATAAAAATAAGCAAAAGAAACCCATAGCGAACAAATATTAATCGGTCGCTTTAGTACTGAAGAAAAAAAAAAACGATTTCTTCTCTTCTCTACACATACACACAAACACACACACACACATTATTATTAAAAGTAAATTTATTTGATCAATAATCGAGAAAAAATGTGTACACCACGTTTCGAACAGTGAACATCTCCATACAAAATCTTAATGTATGCAGTAGGTATGTAGATGAAGAGGTTTTTTAAAATTTCCTAAAGAGAAAACTGTCTTTTTCTTTTTTCTTCTTTTATGCCAGCAAAAGCATAACGAGAGAAGGACAGAGAGAAAGAGAGAGAAAGAAGAGAGAAAAACAGAAGAAAATCGTTATTATGTATGTTATATTATTTTAACTGAAACAAATATTGTTTCGATTATTTGCAACATCAATTGACATCATACATATACATAGAAACACATTTTCAAGTTTTTTTTATTTTTTTTATTTAAAACAAAGTAAGATTATGTCTACATATGTACATATTAGTTGTTAACTAAACTAATAATCGGTTTTGATTAGTTAGATACACATATTCGTGTACACATACACATATTTAAAGTAAGGAAATACTTAAATTTGCAAATAAAATCGATTGAATAAAATAACAATTGAAAATTTTATTTTATTAAACAATGAACACTTGAGAAAAAAAACAAAAAGTCAACTAGTAAATTGCTTAAAGAAAAATTGAGCTCTATGATGAGATATTCAAGTTAAAGTATTTAGATATTTTCTTTGAGATTTTTCCACATATCTAATAGATTTAAGTTTAGTATAGAAGATTAAGTAATACAATATTTAACGTTGAATCTCTTTTTTGAAATTTTTATTAGAAATATTTTAAAAGATACTTTAAGATTAAAGCGAAAAATTGTTTCAAATAAATGTAGAAAAGTAATAAGTATTGAAAAAATATCTTTTTGTTTACTTGTTTTATAATTTTTATTATATTGCCTTTATTCCAAAAGAGAGTCGTGTACTATAATTTAAAAAATGATATTTTAATGTATATCATTTTTTTCCTATTCTAGGCTATCTTTTTGTTTAAATAAATATGTCATCGTCACCGAAAACATCGAATAACGTTTATCAAACAAACAATATGCATCAAGTTGGAGTACCATGTTGTTATCCATCATCGATGAATTATTCTACAGCAAATTCGGCAAATATGTCAATGATGGGTCCACTTTCTCCAACATCCATGAATATTATGCCCACATCAGTAGGAGTTTATGGACAAATGGCTAATGGTGGTACACCATCTACCGCTTCCTATGGTACACAATCATCAATTAATGTTTTAAATTCTTTATCGCCTACACGTTATCAAGGTAGCAATCAAATGTCAACAGAAAAAGTGAATATTAATAATAGCAATAATAACAGCATGAATAATGCAGCAACCGTGGCAGCTGCAGCAGCTGCTAGTGCTTATCGTAAGTTAATTGAAAATTCGCTTAAATAAAGTATTTGAACACTCATTATACTTATTTGTATTTAGGTCGAAATTTTAATGCTTGCGCAAAACCACCGTATAGTTATATTTCTCTGATAACTATGGCCATACAACTTTGTCCAAGTAAAATGTGTACTCTATCCGAAATTTATCAATTCATCATGGACTCGTTTCCATATTACAGACAAAATCAGCAAAGGTTCGTGCTATTTAATTTTCTTTGAATAAAAAAATAAATAGAAAATATCGTTTCTGTTTTAGATGGCAAAATTCTATTCGTCATAGTTTAAGTTTTAATGATTGTTTTGTAAAGGTGCCTCGATCACCTGATCGTCCTGGTAAAGGATCTTATTGGACATTACATAATGAAGCAACAAATATGTTTGAAAATGGTTGCTATTTGAGACGTCAAAAACGATTTAAATGTCCAAAACGTGAAGCATTTCGAATTCATCATCGTGATTCAAATCCTCGAAATTTAGATAAATCTAATACATCAAGTAGTGGTAGAAGTCCGCTCTCATCATCGTCACAAAAATCATCTGACGATTCACAGCATGGATTAATATCACCAATAAATCAACATCGTTCAACATCTCTTCTTCAAAATAATTTCATTCATCAACAAAATTCAATTCATCAAGGAAATGGACGTGAGTATTATTTGTTCTCTAAGCTAAGCAAGAGAAAAGAATTTAAGCTGAAATGTAGCGTGTGTCTAAAGATAGATGGGAGAGTAGATGGACGGATAAGGATTATCTTGCAGAAATACTGTGAATTTTTTGTTTTGAAAGCTTCCAGTAACCAAAGGCATCGGACAACTCTAAAAACTTTCAGTTATAAAAAGAGAAAAACTTTAATATTAGATAGAGGTATTATCATATTCGTTCTTGACACTTCTGAACATACATGGACATATGAAACAGAAATGTGCACAAAAATAACTGTATATATGTGTATTATGGAGTATCTGACTTCTTTCTACGTCTTAGTCCAGTCAGAGCATCTAAGAAATGTCTAAACAATCAGAAAAATCCTATACTCTGAATTGTACTATTATAGGTTTCGACATTTTGAATCTTATTTTTGTTTCTTTTCATTATAGAATCGGACACAGATTCTCGAAATCATGCTATCGCTGCAACAAAATTAAAACAAGAACAGTGTGACTTTAATAATCACATAATGTCATTTGATCCACATTTTTCAAATATAAATTATCATCCATTTGCAATATCAACTTTGATGCAAGCAGCAGCCACCGGTGATGGTTCAAAATTTTATGATAGTTCAGCATTAAATTATAATTTGTATGCCGCAGCATCCGCTAATTTACCACAAGCATTTTCATCAGACTATTATATGTATGCACCACCAACACAAGCTCTAGCTCATGGTGGAATGTGATTAGAAAAACATCAACAAATGCTTTTATTCCGATTTTTTATTCTCTCGATCTGTAGATAAATATTAAATGTTTTTTTTCCAAATATATATATTTGTATTTCAGTAAAAAGAAAAAGAACCAAAACTATTATCAATATAATAAAGATATTTTATTTTTGTGTTTTGTTCCTTATTGCAATGTTTCTGTTTATCAATCATGATCACAACACCAGAAAATAATGACGTGCAAACGTGCTGTTGTTTTTAAATTCAACATCAGAAATTAATTATAAAGATTACGAATATAATAACGAAGTTTCTTGGTGACAAGTTGAAGTGGCTGCTTGAAAATAGATGTAATCAGACCGCACTTATCAGAGAAATAGAGAATAATAATCATCGGAAGTTAGTATATTGATTTATGTGAATTTTTACAATTTAATGAACGATTATTCATGGCGTAAAATACTGAACTGGCAGTCAATTCGACAACACCGTCGTGTCTCTCATTTGATGTGAACCAAAAGTTCTTCGAAAAAACTTGTCAGTTTTTGCAGACTGATTGACGGTCGCGTATTTCGTTCACAAATCGGTTGTTGTCTATATTTAACCACGTTAGAAGCGAGAATTAGAAAATATTTTGGTACAGAGACCATCAGATCCAGATCAGATGGGGGCTTTTGACTAAGATCTTGTCTTGATTGGATCTGGACCTGAAAAACGGATATGCGACATAGATCTTCCGCTTTCGGATCCGGATTTGAACTTGCACTTGTGACTTGAACATGAACCTAATGTACAAAGTGAATTTTTAAAGGTAATGCAAATTAGGTTAGCGTATAGCTTGGATACACGGTATTCTAGTAACGATTACTACTGATAACCTACTTTTAACCTAGACGAAAACACCGATTTTGAACGACCACATTAAAACAGTCAATACTTTGAGTAATAAAGTGTAGTCCGAGTGAAACTTTATCGATGGGAAAGTTCAGACTGAGGTTCTCTAGGTTTAAACTGAAAAATGGCACAATCAGAAAAGGAAGTGCAGAGAAAAAACTTACGTTTGCTAAAAATAGATGGCGATTACACAACAATAACAAAACCTTCGTAGCATCGCGAGACTAAAGTGGAATTTTGCTCTACTCTTAAGACAGTCTCTCTGTTCAGAAAGCTATTTTTCGAAGACTGCATTAAAAATAAAAGACTCAACCGATTCATATCTATATTTCTTTAAAATGTGATTAACTGTGTATAAGCTTTCCTATCAGACGGTGTTTAGATAAGAAATAATAAGGATATGGAACAAAACTGCAGTTTTGGCTTCTGAAACCAGGTTTTGGGAGAAAACTGCATAGGTTCTATTAGGTTAACCCACGTTAGGTTAGGTTTAGGTTGTGAAAATTTTTATAAGTTGTCAAAAAGTCGTAACGTGCAGGGCTCTAGTCCAGATCCAAGTCCTGGTCCGAGAGAGACAAGTTTGGGCCCAGATCTATCATTCGTTTGAGAATTACGGTTAACTGCTTAGAGATTAAAATCTCTCAGGCTTTATTGCAAATCTGGATCGGGACTTGTCAGGTCATAGGTCCAGATCTACCCTCTCTGATTTGATGAAAGTAACCGAATCAGCGTCTATTTATTCGGCATTCGAAATGCGTCAGGATATGAGGCTGATTGCTGATTACATTTGAGAAAAACGCCCAGTGTCGATTTATTATTTTATTTTAGGCTAAAGGAACGCTAGATTTACTTTAGAAACAGAGTAAAACAGTTTTAAAACGAGATTTAACAATACTCGTTGTTATTTCATTCAAGCTACAGGATATGGTAAAATTATAGACCCCCTGTATAAGCTGCATCAAAATTGATGCAGTTCTTCAATCATTAAATCTTTTTTCAAACAGCTTTCTCATATAAATAGCCACATGTCTAACCTACATTTTTATATAGGCCCTTTCATTTCTAGGCCAGTCAACACAGAGAAAAACTCAATACACTGAACAGGTTGTGTGGCATAATTATAAACCCTTCTTTTATTTTTCACTTATTTCCCATAACTGTCTAAAAGTTAAAAGACTTTTGATAGGTTTAAAAACAACATGATTCGATAGGGGGTTTTAAGGACGGCACTTTAGTAAAAAGATTTTCTCAAAAATCATCTTTTCTGATTTTGAAATCTTAATTTTTAGAGAAGATGGAAAATTCGAAAAAGTAAATTTCTAATATTTAAATGTGAATTAAATTTTTTTTGACTATACCATTCAAAAGATTGAAGAAAACTGCATCGAGTAGCAGTATTGTAACTAAAACATAGAATTATTTTAGTCTGCTTAAAACGGTTTACTTGAATTTTTCACTCACGACATCTATTTATATTGTACTTTTCGACTACTTAGCGTTTGTCTCAAAGTTTTTCAATATGGTAAGGTTAAAGAGAAATAAATTCTGCACAAAATATATATGCATGATCTTCAGCATGCTGTTTCGTCTTTTAGTTGCTTCCTTGGTGGTGAATGTTGTTGTGGCTTTTTTCGACTGCTTATCGTTCTTCATTTTCAGTTTGATTGCAATTAGAGCATATTCATCTAAATCTGTTACGCTTTTGCCGTTTATCCCTGATATCAGACGCTTCTTCATGGTTGTTGCATGTGGTGCAGTAAAATGTTTTCCACGATTGCTTCGATAGCAGCCAACGATTTATCTAGACAGAACGAGAAACCGTTTGTCCAACCGGTTCATTGCGATTTAAGCTGAGAACTTACCTGTTAAAGTTAGTAATCGGGTTTTGTTCAAGAGTAATTCCGACAGACTGGAGCGTAAGAGACCTATGACTATGAATTGTGGTCGATGTTTGATCACGAACAATTGAACTTCGTGTTATCGATGTTGGGAAGTAGACGTCTACAGTATTCAAATTGTTTACTGCAAATTGTTTATCTCGATATTGACTTCCAACTGCATCATTGTTACCTATAATAATGTAATAATGAGAGAGCATTGCTCTTAGTTTCAGTGGATCCCGGATCCGATGGATATTTGACTAAGCCGCGACGCTGAGTTGATGTCAATGGTGTTGTTAAAACTATCGTTTCATTATCGGGATAGTCAAACTCAACTGAAGGCGAACGTGGCAGTATGATTGTTGTGGCTGATGTTTTGATCAATTTGTCTGACAAAATCGGATTTATCTAGGATTTTGTTTGTTGGCACAACAAACGTCTCCATTGTGTTTTTTACGTATTTCAACGTATAAACGTCCAATGGTTGTAGAATATGTGTTGCATGTGCTATGGCAGACACAATAGATGTATTTGGTGATTCAAGACTAATCGAACTGTTTTCAATGACAGATGCGATGTATGTCCATCGAAAATAAGTAGGAGCGGACAAGGAATATGCTTCGTTTTGGGGATGAACAGTTTTTAAATAATCGAAAAATCGGTCTTCATCAATCCATCCCGATTTCGTACGATCGAACACAGCACCACAAATGACTTCAGAAAGTCTTTTGTCTAAAATGTAGCCCGTAAAGTTTCTTCATGGAATTATGTTATTTTTAAACGTATCAAAAGCCTTTTAACTGAATCTGAATTGACCGTATTTTGACTAAAGATTCCACATAGTCCATACAGTCAGGAAACAGCACACAAGCAAAAAGAAAACTTTGCTTACATAAGAGACACTGTTACCGATAGAAACAGAGGAAAAGAAAAGATAAAATGAATCTTAATACAGCTAGTGAAAAAGAAAAACAACAACAATTGTTCTTAGGGGCCACAAGAATAGCACAAAGAGCAACAATACACTAAAAATAATTTACATGATTTTTCAGAAGCATCTGAAATATATTTAAATTGGCCGTGTTTGTTATTAGAGTTCTATCGTGGACCGTAAATTCTTTATCACACATACGACAAGATGGACATACATTCGGATGGTTCATGCCCAAAGTCCGCAAATTTTCAACCTTATTTCTGTAACGGCTTCTCAACTAATGCTAGAAACACCATTCGTCTCGGCTTGACGAACGGTATGTCCAACGTAAATAGGTATGCATCGGTTTCAGTTTTCAAATCGAAAAACCAACACGGAAAACATTTTTGTTTAATCAGTGATGCCTCTAGAAACTTTAGCTTTAGTTTATAATTTTTATAGAGCAGGGCAAACCGGTATTTGATCTATAAAATCACTAGCTTACTGTTTGTAAATTATTTTACTTGTGTCTAATTTAAAACACACCATACCTAAGAGTAGCAGCAACATGTACAGACATTGATATTAAGGGTACTCTCTTCTTTAACATGGATTAAAATACAGTCAGGGGTTCTCTATAAAATGAGATTGATGAGAGACTTCCAGTACGTTTCATTGAAATGACATGAAGGTCTGAGATTTGTTGATTAGAGTGCGAAAGATCATTTTTTGAACGTCCAAGCCAGCGAGGTAAATATAAAAACATGATTTTTCAGCTATCTTCCGTGAAAGTCTCACAACATTTTTGTTTAATCAGTGATGCCTCTAGAAATTTTAGTTTTAGTTGCTCTCGATAGATGTAACCTAGCTAATTGAGCTGAAGTAACCATATCACCCTGTGATTGAGTATTACGCGATTATGCAATAATAGATGACGATAGTCAGAGAGCATGTTGAGAATGTTTCGGTAAACCATGTTCTTCCAGGTAAACGTGTACAGGCTAATGCTTTGGTAAATAAGTTCTTGTCATCAAATCGAACTATTTTTAGATTTAATTGCGATTTACCGTATCAGGAAATTCGAATGAGTCTTTCACCATACTTGGACCAGATCTCCGGTGATCTGATCTTCTCGCTAACATCAAGTCCAGCTTGTAATTGAACGTTTTGATTGACGATAAAACAGGTCTATTCGGTTTATGATCTTTGTGTAAACGGTCAATGGCTAATTTCGCTAATTTGGCTAATTTGAATTCCGGTGACTAATGAAATACCGTTCATGTAATTCTAATAAAAACCATACTAATTTATCTTCTTTCACCCACCCA